ATTCAAACTTCACTATAATCAAATGGATATTAATGTCTTCATCAATCATCTAAATGAGCAACAAGGCGTGTATACCTTAACCGAAGAAGAATTAATTATTGGAATTAAACAAGAAGAGTAAGGAGATAATCTAAGAATGATAATACGGAAAATATCAAAAGGAGATAATCCTAAGAATGATACGGAAATATCAAAAGTTTCATGCTAAGAGAAGCTCTAAATATGCTGGAGAAACTAAAAATATTTTGGCTTCACAAGAAGGTGTCTATGCTAGCGACTATTACATACCACAAGATAAAATGTGATAACAACTCTAAAGCTAAATCATTGTCCCAAACAACTTTAGAAATATTTTATTTCATCTTAAACATTTGATGTAACATAACAATATTTTTGCAATATACATAAAAATTATGTAAGAGCAAGTTCTTTACGAGACTTAGAAAAAAATATAACTTTTACAATGTGAAATTATTTCTTATTTATAACTAGCCTAAGTTAGGACCAAATTTTTTATGATTGCATTTATGTTATTTCTATATAAATTATCACTATGAATAGGTTATTATTTATATGTGCTCTGTGTGTGGTGTGGTGTGAAGTGTCCATCAAAGTATTCCCTACATAGATATATTAATTGGGAAGTATATTACTAGTAGGCATGTTAAAAGCCTCGTTGAATATCATGTAATGGTATTAGTATAGGTGATTATAAAAGTATATCACTAGGGAATTAGCATGGATAAGCGGTGTTAATGAACTGTTTATCGAAATGACCATTATAATGAATCACATGAACATTTAGAATTACAGTCAATGATGCATCATAAGATCGTACTGTGTACTGTAATCCTTAACTGAGATATCATGGTTGGATTCTGCATAAACGCATATGGTTTACATGGTGTATAAACACGAGGCTAATTATGTATGTGCAAAAAAATTAATTGGCCATGTGTATTTATGTGTGACGACAAGTGATGTATAAGATGAGATGTTGACTTGGTATAGGTTGATAAAGTTCCTAGACAAATGTCAAGAGACATTGGAAAAGAGAAATCTCCAGTCATGGTATATAAATGTTACCTGAAAGGTTATTTCATGGTGAACGTTCCATATGTATTGAGTGTCATTTAAATAAGATTAAGATAAAGATTTTGACATACATGAATCCATTCTTAATTGGGATTAGACATAGAAGGATTAATTACTCATCGCATATGTATAAAATGGTTCGTTTGAGTAAATCTTCATTGTGACTTAGGGGGTATGGTACATTGCTAGATGCCTATCATAATCGGTGGGAGTTTCGGTATAAAGAGTTTGATGAAACATATCCGAACAGACTACGATATTAAGCCTACGGCTAAGCCACAGTGAACCTAAGAGGTTACCCAAAAAACTAAGGAGAATGGAGAAATAGTCATAGAGAGAATTGATTATCCAAGGTTGGTTGGCACTTACCAAGGGCAATAAAGATATACATTATTATCATTGAATTAGATTCAATGGAGGGTTTATTTGTATTATGAACAATTTGAGAAGGTTAAATTGTTAAAAGGAATTAAGTGTAACTCTAAGTTATAATTAATCATTTCTTTATATTAAATTCTATTTAATAATGGGTTGTATGTAATATATAAACAGTTTAAGAGTAAATTGTTAATTATGATAAATGTTAATCAAATGTTATTATAAAGAAGTTTAATAACTCATAATAATTATGGAATTATTTACAACTGCAAAAAACATTATGGAATTATTGAAGAATGTCCAAAAAACAATTATTGAATAGTTTACAAGGCTGCATTATAAAGAAAATGATATCAATTTAGGGTAGATAAAAAATTTAATAACCCTAAATATCTCTTTAGCCTAATTCTTCTTTTACTAGTATGAACACTCTTTTAATTTCTTTAAATTAAAGTCTTCAAGTTGGTAAGGACTAAGGTAACAAGCTATACCTTACTTGTTTTCATTTGATTGAATTTTTTTTGCAAAATCTAATATACACATATAGTATCACATGATCATTCTCCATGCATTCCAACTTTCAACACACTATTGTCGGCGTCGACAAATAGGACATGTTTCTGGCGCATGACAACACTCCCCTGAGTCTTTGACCAAACCCATCTCACCCCTCCCCTGTTAGCTCCCCAATCGCCGGCAGCAGCATGCTTTTTTGGCGACTATTTTTGTGATTTTGGTCAATTCACTCACCGGAAATAACTATGTCGTCACCATCCTCTTAAAAAGCCCTAACATTCCAATCTCAATTGTTCGGATGAATACCTAATTCTAGGGTTTTGAATGAATAGGAAAATTTGTAATTCGACCTGGTGAAGGCCCCGAGTGCTAGTTGAACCGGTTCAATCGGTCGAGTGGGCTGGGTTCCTAATCATTGTCAACAATAGTCTTAGGTTTCATCAAAAACATCAAATTCTTTAATTTTCAGCATCCTCGATTAAAAATGAACTCAAACACTAACATTAATCACCCTCTAAATAAAACACTAAACTAACATGTACACATACTATTTGAATCCAACACAAATGCAATGGATTTTTTGTTTTTTTTTTTTTTTTCAAATATGTCCTGGTATTGGGGGCAATTTCATCCTTAAAAATTAGGAAATTAACAGTTGTAAGTACTTCACCTATCACAAACTCTACTATTTTCACACCAACGTAATCTCAAACTGCACATGCATTCAAGAAATAGCCAATAAAAACAAACCCACTTGGATTCTACTACCACCCATATCCAAATATAAACAAAACTAGAAAAGAAAAAGAGAGAGTGAAAGAAAAAGAGAAAGAGAAAGAAAAGAATCAAAAGAGCAAGCCAAGTGAAGCAATAAGAAAAAAAGAAAAAAGAAAAAGAAAAGAAAAGAAAGATGATAAGAATGAGAAAAACACAAGAGAGAGAAGAGAACCTTTGGGATCTGTTGAGACAAGAAGAAGCATAAAACGCAAGTGTTGGGAAGAGCTTGGGCATGTCTCCTTTCATGAAACTCTCTCTCTACCCACCAAAACCAAAACAAAACTATCTTCAACTCGTTTTTCTCTCTGGTTTCTTGGTTGTGACTGCCTATCTAACTCAATAGTCATTAACTTTTAATAATAATTTCCTCTTTAATTTTATTATTGATTAAGACAAAAACCACCCACCACCACCACTACTTCTTCTTTACCCTTTCTTTCTTTTTGTTTTGTGGTTTTTTTAATAATTTAACGTCATTTTCTTCTGTGGACCACCCAAACACGCCCTTCAACTTTTGGCTTTATCCATAGCCGCCCTTAACTGTAATGTGTTTCACATACCCACGCGCTTAGTCCATGCCCACTGTGACAAGTGTCACCTTTCTTTTAACTTTTTGTTCTATTGGTACGTACTTTTGGTGACGCGTGAGATAAGAGTTATCTATCGTCAAGGATGTAATAAATTTTAGAAAATTTTATTAAGTTTATCCCTGTTTAATGGATTTATTTTCGAAAATACCCTGTCGTCTATTAATGATGTATCATCAGTTCCGATGCGCACAACTGGACAAATGATACTGTATTAATATTTTTAATATTAATTTTTTTATATAAGTATATTCTTTCCACTCAATTTTTTTAATAATAAAATATCCTAGTTTAATTATTTTTGAGATTAAAGAAAATAAGATTTAAAGGATAATTAATTATTTTTTGAGTTTATTTGGGTGAGAAAGTTAATTGACTTTCATAATGTGTTCCTCTTCTTGTTCCTGGTTGGTTGTTTGTTAATTAGCGTGCTTTGGTCAGACATGATTTAACGTGTTTAGGTTTTGAAATTCAATTAAATCCTTGAATTAAGGAGAAAACAATAAAGATTAACTATTCTATCATTGTATTTGTATGATAATATAATACAAATACAATGTATTATTATAAGAATAATATTTTATCGTACAATTGTTAATACTATTCAATTGTAATTCCAAAGGGTTGGTTTGATGGTTAAAAAAATTTATTTTCTTCTTTAAATTTCTAAGTTTAAACCTTGAAATCACTTATCATAATAATACTGTGGTTTACCTAGTCATTTAAACTTGTAAAATGTTTAATGAATATCACGAATGGGTTAAAGTGAAAAAAGAAAAAATATAATTCAATTATCATATCATGTGAATTATTAGAAGCAAGGGTGATATTAACATTTATCAATATTATCTTGATAAATAACTAATACTTTAAATTTATAGAATATTCAATAAATTTTAAGAATCGATTAAGGTTAATGTAAATTGTTAAAAAGATATATATCATTCAATTGTCACATCTTTTGAATTATTAGAATTAACCTTGAATCCTTCGTTTATCTTATCTTGGTAAATGAATAATAGTCAAACCATCTTTATCACCCAATTTCAGTGTGATTAATAATAATCATCAATGTTTCTATTAATATTGAATGCGATAGACTTGATCACTTACAACTGCTTGGATTGAATCAATGTGAGTATAAAAGATTCGGAATAAGATATAACATGGAGGGTAATTAAGTAAATAGGGATACCTGAGAATGAATTTGTCGTATTGTGAATGTTGTCCTGTACAAGATAAGAATCAATAGCTTGTTGGAAAAAGTAATCATAGATGTTACCCTCACAACAGGACCAAACCTTTTACGAAAGCTACTGTCACAAAACAAGTGCCACTTCACTTCACCCCAACTCCTGGGCTGGTTCAAAGAATCACGCTTTCAATTAATTTTCTTTCTTGCATTACAATTTACAATTTTACGTGTTAGTAAAGAAAGCTTACTTGCACCAACCTCAGAGCTGATAGTCATAGATACCCAGTCAATTCTTTTTCACTTTCAGTAAGTAAACTGTCAATCATTTTAATAACCAAACAACCACTTCATGGTCCTTTCTTTACATTTTAAGATTCTTGTTTACACCAAAAAATATTCAAATATATAACGCCTGTAAATGAAACGCCAGAATGGCACAAATCAAACTCACACATGCTATAAAGAATCTTTATATAAATCAAACATTTACTAATCTCTAACAAATAAATGGAATATCCAAAATTTCAAGCCACTTGGACAAGTGAGTGAATGTGCCGGGGATACTGGGAGCCTTGTTTATGTGGCTCCTCAGATACAAATATCATGAATAGTATTCGGTGATTCCTATAACAATGAAGACTAGAGATGACTGTACAAATCTTTGATGCGGTTGCTTCCGCAACTCACTTCCGTTTCTCAAATTTTAACACTGCCACCAACAACATCATCAAGTAATAGTTCAACATTCATCAGGTGTCTTGAAGCACCGCAGCAGAATATTCCGATATTATTTTGGTCATCACTGAAAAAAGCATGGCAGGAAAAGTAGGTTTAATGACGAGACAAGCAAGCTACTAAAAGAACGATTAAAACTAACAATAATACAACCAAACAAGCAAATAAGTATCCTAGGCTCACTGATAATAAAGTTATTGTTAATGGAGACACTAGAAGTACTCACCATATGAATCTATAGCTGTAAGTCAATCTTTTCAGACCATTTGAAAATATCAGAGTAAACTTGATCTCCACCCAAGCGTTCTCCAGTAGCCCCAGCTGCTACTCTTAAAATATCCTCAATCAATGCAAAATTCCCCATTATATCAACATGAGCACCACTTTGGGAGCCTCGCCCCTCTAGAAGATTAGCTGGAGGAGCATGATCATACTCTCTTATGTAAGTACGAATGCCTGAAGGATTAAATCGTGTTTTCCCCCTCCATCCTTTTGCACCCATGAACCCTGCACTTAAAACAGGAACCGTTTCATCTCCATTGACAGAAAGAACTCCACCTTTCAAACAAGAATCTACACTTCCACCATCTGCAGAACTGTCTATCTGGAAGGGAATGTAGCATTCAGAAGCTGGAGTTAATTTATAGACATATGCTCTTTCTGTAGGGACTCCAACTCCATACATAGAATAAATCTCCATGTCCGGAGCATTTGGTAACCTGAAAGAGAAGCACAGAAGATTAAGCATCCATATTAATGTACAAATTGGACAAACAATGAACTTTAATCAGCTGTCAGAACCAGTTTTAAATGAAGGACCTAATGAAACTATTATTAGTTTTGTCAGACAAGGTGGGAAATTATTTAATTGAGCAGAGACAGTTTCCAATCACCAGAACATGTGGCATGTACACCTCTGATAAGATTGTATGCTCGGGTAATCAAATTCTTACACTGGTATATTACATTAGTGCAACTATAAAAAATTTCAAATTAGCTGATTTGTCATAAACAGGAACAATGAGCTGAGAATAACAAAGAAAAGTTGAAACTCTTACTTCATTTCTAAGGGGTTCGACCAGTACTTGTAGTGATTGTATTTCGGGTCATCCAAATTGTCAGCTATTCCATACGAAAATTGAGCACCTCCACGTGCCATCAACTTTGGGGCAACAAACTGTAACAGGTCCAAAATTGATCCAGCTGTGTAGACTTTGTAATCGGCAACAGCTTTAACACCCCCAACACCCATTTCATGGTACTCTGTCCATACATCACAACGGGTTTTATTCACAAGGTTACTACCCTTGACAGCACCCTGCCCATCAACAAGCCATTAATCATACAAGATTCCAATCAAGCAACTAAGAAAAGAATTTATGTCATAGCTCCAAGCACATTTGGGTACAATAAAACAATACACTGCCTCTCATAAGATTGGTGGAGGTTTCTAGCAGTTGAAATGAAATTGTTTTTCACGATTATAACATCTGATATAAAAACATTACTCTTACACAAAATTTGAGAACCAAAAAAAAAAAAAAAATGAAGGAATTGGTATCTATATACTAGTAAACTGGAATAGATAAGAAAAAAATCCTAATTATATTTAAAGTATGAGAAAAGAACAGTGTCCAGTTAGTTCCATTTGAGTTCCTTTTTAATATAATACCAAATTGAAACTTGCAACATTACCCTGAAATCCATTCTCTCAAACTTGGAGGAATGTGCCTCAGCCACATCTTTTCCAAAGGAAATAAATCTTCCATAATTTACTTTTTTTGTGCTAGCCAAATCCCCATTACCATTTTGGCGAGCAGTGCAAGTATCATTGTTCTTCAGCTTCTTTGCATTACAGTTATAGCCTCCTTCAGGTGACCAATCAATACCTCCCCATATAGTATCTCCACCTTTTGGGATCATTGACATGGTTGCATCCCATGTACGAGTCATCCGCATTATATGTTGTAAAGTTTGAAGACCAAACACGTCCTTATTCAAAACACCTGGTGCGAAAGCCCTGTTTTAGGATTTGCATTTCATCAAGAGTTGAAAACTGAAAGAATAAAACATACATGTTTTAAGCGTGAAGAATTATTATAGGTCATGAAGTCAATGTATTAAACACTTAAGCTTAGTAAAGATATAAGCGTTTAATACATTGACTAAGCTTGTGGTTACTTTGATTGCTGCAAAATCTTTAGAAAAGATATAAATTTTTTAAATCTTTGATTCCTGCAAAATCTTAAGCAAGTACTATTTCAAACCAAATGCTCATTGTGGTTACTAATTTCTTGCAAGATTGTTGTATAGAGGTACTTCATCGGCTATTAGTAGAGCAGAGTGGTAGAAGGATTTTTTAAGTCAGGGAGAAAGTTACTTGTTTGTTATGGGACAAAGTTCATTTCTTTGCTTTTCTTTGGGAGTCAGTTTCCGATGTTTTCAACGATCTTCCATCCCTCTTTTTTTTATTTACTTTTTACCCGAAGAACTAGGAAGCTATAGTTAGTTAATTTTACTTTAGGTCATTCCTATTTGTGATTTGTAAATTTGTAATAGGAAGTTTTAACCTTGTGGACAGCTTCTTCACTTTTCTATATTAATGAACTCATAAGCTCCTATCCATAAAAAAAAATGTTATGATAATTATATAAGAGGAAATACTATAAAACACCTTACAAGTCAACAGGGAACCAGCCTTTCCCATTGAGGAAAAATGAAGGTCTTTCAATAACTATGTTGTCATCTCTCAAGGAGGAGAAGGAAAAATAAGAAGAAAAACTTTCTGCTACTAACATAAGTGAATGCAACAAAACTTCAATGAAAGCCTAGGCATAAGTTGGGCTTAGGGATTGACACAGCTTGCAGTAGGTATTCACACCATGTTTAATGTTTTTACAGGATACCTAGACAACAAGGTTCCAGAAACTAGAAGATATGGCCCAAATCTCAGCAGTTCACCACTCAACTAAAGAAAACAGGAGGGCTCAATAAGACAAGTCATCACAAGAAACTGAACAGAACCTATACACATCAAAACAGTTCAGAGGAATACCTGGCAACAGCAATATCCTTGGCTTCAATAGAAAATAGTCCTGCCACGGCCTTTGGAACACCTAAAAAGGGTCCCCCAATGTTCATGACTGCCTTTATATGCTTAGCGCACCAATCTGATCCACCCCCACCACCCATCGGAGCTGGTGCCTCAACCCATTTCATAAAATGCAGAAAGTACAGGACACCCATTGAATGCGGAATAACAACCACCTTTTTCCCACCATTTGTAGCTACCATGAGTTCTATGTTACTTTTAATCCTGCTTAAAGCTTGGTCCCTGACCTGACCAATACAGTAAGCCATAAGAAAATCAAATAACACCAAGAGGACTATATACAATTTACATTTACTAGAACAAGATGACCAACTAGGGAGTGGATCTTACACAAAAACTGTACCTCAGTGTTCTGAAATGATATTCTCCAATCATATGCAGCCATGTACATGGTTTTCTCCTCATATCCAATACGAGCCAAATTAGCGATCAAAACTGCCCAAACAAAATAACCAGGGGCAAAGTAGTCAGCTGCCACTAATCCTGATACAGGCCTGACCCTTATACCAGAAGGGTCCAGTCCAGTTTCATTATCCAGAGACATGTGCTCAACCCAGCATAGTGGTCTGCATAATCATAGAGAGAAACACGAGGGAAGCAAAATTATCAATTGCAGTGCATCTGTAAAAACTTCATGTATGATTAAAACCTGAGAAATAGTAATCAGAATCAACGAGGAGACATTAATCAAAACCAGAAACTCTTAATCAAATTATGAACTTACACAAATAGTAACAGGCATAAAGTACTTTCTTTCTCTTTAATAATGTTTTCAGTTTTATGGGAAAAGTAAAACAAACTAAAATATTTACCAGGTCGAAAGAGTGGCTAAACAACAAACACTTGAAAACGGTACTTTGGCAATTTTACCACTTAAGATTCAAATAACATAGAAAACTCAAGTTTCCTCAACAAACACTTGAAAAAGTACTTGAGCAGCTCCTTCATATGTCGTTAAACAACTGATTTAGCATCCTAGAAGAACAAAGGGAAAAATCTTCCCCAAATTATTGAGCCATGTGAATAGAGGAAATCCAAAAGCTATAAGGGAGAATGAAGACCAACAACAGGTAGAATCTGCCTAATTGAAAAAAGTAGAAAGAAATTGCCTGAAGGCACACAATTCTACAAGCAAACACGAGCATTAAATCCTCAATAATGACCTAGGAATTGTTTAGTTAACACCATTATTGGCACGAGAACATCAACATTTAGAAATTCTCAAAAGCACAGATTTCATTCTTTTGAATGCAGTATACTACCACTGTCAAATGGTTTCAAATACTCCCCCATAGAGATTAAAATGTTGTCAACGACTAAAACGAAAACATATACAACATCATCACTCACAGCACACCAAAAAGTTCTTCTAGTACACGCCTAATGTAAAAAACTTTGTTTTACTAATTTATCAACCGATAAAACAGTTGTTTATGGTAATCAGTTACTATAGTCAGCTTTTTCTATACTAGCAACCAAGTAAGTAATCGAACACTGAGAGAAATCTGCATATAAAAGCAGCAATCCAGGGAACAACTGAGTCCACTTCCTTAAATATCAAGCAAAAAGACCAATGTCTAACTTTACGCCCACATTGACCAGTCATAAGTAACTACACCTCACTCACTTAATAGCTTTCTAAATAAGCGATTCCCAGAACACATAGCAAAAACAAAAAAAAGAAATTACCTTTTATACAACTCACCAAATGTGCCACCCCAAAGTCGCTTTCTAAACAAGCCATCAGCGCACTGGTGGCCCTCCCACAGCTCGAGACCACCTGTCACGATCCCAGGCACAAACACTATGGGATGCTTAGCTTTCAAGCCCTCCTTCCACAACTTCAGGCCCGGCGGGTCTGGTAACGGCCCCGTTATGGCCTCCGTTACGTACTGAGGTAACGATGCCGGCATGGCGTTGTATAAAAACAGTAAAAGCCACCAAGTGAGACATACGCAGCCAATGAACCAGCAACAGCTATCAAGACAAGACCATTTTCTAATTTTCTCTTCGTCTGCTTTTCTTTTTGATTCATCGTCTCCTTTTCTCTTTGATTTTTCCTGTTTATCATTATGGGAATCCGAGTTCTGCGATTTTGAAGTTTCTGAGCCCTTTCTGCGTCTAAGAAACGACATCGTTTGGTTAAAGCTATAGAGTGTAGGGTCAGATCTATAAATGCTCTGAGACTGACTACTGAGGGAGACACTTTATTTCATTATTAATTAGTCTGTTTTGCCGGTGACAGACTAACCGGCGGGATTGGCTCTTTTTGCGTCCTCTCTTTTTTTTTTTTTTTTTACACCTTTTCGATGAAACAAGGGTGGATTAATTATTTTCAGTTTCAGATCTCTGACGAGGTAGTATTTATTGTACGTGGCGTAATCACGTAAGTTCTGGAACAAGGTATTTTTTATTAGTTGTTGGGGCGGTGGAAAGACAATCAACGGAGTTGGTGTGAAAGATGAATGGGGAGGAGGTGACGTTATGCTCGAAGCATGGAGGTGTAGTTTGGATGTTCGTGAACGGAGTTGGAATCTCCTCCGAAAGGCTCCTGATGTCTGCAACTGTAAGGGGGTCAGAATCGTCAGAGCTCCAATCAAATGATTTACGTAATACGTGTTTGGATGTTCGTGAAATTAGCCGCTACCAATGCAATAAGACATCAAATTTCACTTTTCTTTTTATTTTTATGTAATTTCTTTATAATTAAATTATTAAACAATTTTGTAAAATTATATTATAATAAGAAATAATATAGTTAGTAAATTCTCGAATTATTCGTAAATTATATGCCACCCGTATAATTTGTATTATTCGCGAATTATATGCCTCAGTCATATTATTCGAGAATTATTTCCATATCCGAATTTTTATCGAATTTTATAAACGTATTTTTCACCATTTTTTGTATCATACCCGTAAAATTTCCGTACCATTTTTTTGCCGTACCCGTATATTTGAAATGTTATATAGATTTTAACCAAGTAGCCCATGAAAAGTGCTAAAATTAGGATTGATATTGCCGTATTTTTCAAAATATATTATTGACAATATGTCATATTAAACCTGTATATATCCGTATCGTATTTTTTTTATATCTAAATTTTATGATCGAATTTTCACAAATATATTTTTTATCATTTGCCGTATCATACCTATAAAATTTTCATACTATTTTTTTGTCATATCCGTATTTACTAACTAAAATTAAACAAAAAAAAAATCGTTTTGTATATAAGTTTGAGTTTTGAGGGATATATTATAATAGTACACCAAGAATAATATCTTTTCTCCTCCATATGTTCTAAGCACTCACGTGAATATAATTTTAAAAAAGTATTACTATGCGCTACGCCTGCGATTTAATCTCATAATCTTCTTTTATAATTCTAACATAACAATTAAATTGACAATTATCATTTCAGTTCTCACCACACCTAAAATATTAAATGATTTTGATTTAATACGAATTATTGTTTTCCAAACGATTTTTCTTTTATAAGGAATTATTGTTCTTTATAAAGAAACAATTGATCATTATCATTTTTTATTAATGGAACAATCATTTCTTATGAATGAATTATTGGTTGTCTCTAAAGAACGGCCATTCGTGTGGTAATACTAACTTTGTTGTCACATTAAGATTGCAATTAAAGGTTGTGAAAATTGGTTGTAAACGGGATATTTTTGTTTTAAAATAATTCTTTTCATCAACTTTTACGTTTTTTGTTAGGAAAATAATACAGTCACCGATGATAGTGCACCGAATGACGTAACAAAATCTTGACCGTTGATTAATTTTAACTTAATATTAATCAACGGTCATGATTTTGTCACGTTATTTGGTACACAAATTCAGTATACTACCGTCGGTGGCTGTAGTATTACTCTTTTTGTTAATATTTATCTGGGGGTTTTGTGTGAAATTTTGAGAATTATGTAGTAAACAATATATTAACGATGTATATATTTATAATTGAGTATGGTGTAGCTAGCTTCACTATTTCTAAATGAACTTTTATAGCAATTAAAAAAAGGCTACTTTTAGCTGTAATCAAATAATTAACTAATTTATAATTTTAAAATTAAATTCACTGTATCTATAACTTTTGGAACTCACAATTGAAAAATAAGATTTATCAAAAAAAAAAAAATTTCAAATTATTTTTAAAGTTACATTAATCCTGCACTAGCCCTAGAATTGTATTTATATTAAATAATCAAATTGTGAAAAAAAGAAAGAAATATATATATATAAAAGAAACTATTTCATATATATATATATATNAAAGAAACATAAAAATGAAGGAATAATTAAGTTCTAAAAGAGATACTACAGATGAAAATCACATGATTTTTTTTATATCTTTAATTTAATGCTGAATCGCGCAAGTTCAATTAGTGGGCACTGAGATATACACCTCTTTAATTATTTACCCCATAAAAAAATGTGAAAAAGGAAAAAGAATAAACTGACATAATGTTAATATATCACTTGAAAATGAATTTTGATATATATATATATATATATACAGTAAGACATCTCTATAGTTATAATATTGAGACCAACTAAATTTATTACTATAAGGAGGTTTAACTTAATAGAGATGATTATAGGGTTAAAAGAATTATTGTTTTGATTCAAAAATTATTGTTTTGATTTCTTGTTTTATAATTTATGTTTTAGTAGTATTAGGATTTCAATTCATTGTTTTAGTAGCATTAGCATAGTAACGAAAATGGATATCAAAGAGTCAGTGCAAAATTGAGTGATCAGATTCAACAACTTCACTATAATCAAATGGATATTAATGTCTTCATCAATCATCTAAATGAGCAACAAGTCGTGTATACCTTAACCGAAGAAGAATTAATTATTGGAATTAAACAAGAAGAGTAAGGAGATAATCCTAAGAATGATAATACGGAAATATCAAAAGGAGATAATCCTAAGAATGATTATACGGAAATATCAAAAGTTTCATGCTAAGAAGCTCTAAATATGCTTGAGAAACTAAAAATATTTTGGCTTCAACAAGAAGGTGTCTATGCTAGCGACTTATTACATACCCACAAGATAAAATATGTGATAACAACTCTAAAGCATAAATCATTGTCCCAAACAACTTTAGATAAATATTTTATTTCATCTTAAACATTTGATGTAACATAACATATATTTTTTGCAATATACATAAATTATTATTATGTAGAAGCAAGTTCTTTAAGACGAGACTTAGAAAAATTATAACTTATTACAATGTGAAATTTATTCTTATTTATAACTAGCCTAAGTTAGGACCATAATTTTTTATGATTGCATTTATGTTATTTCTATATAAATTATCACTATGAATAGGTTATATATATATATGTCTCTGTGTGTGTGTGTGTGTGAAGTGTCCATCAAAGTATTCCCTACATAGATAATATTAATTGGGAAGTAATATTACATAGTAGGCATGTTAAAAGCCTTCGTTGAATATCATGTAATGGTATTAGTATAGGTGATTATAAAAGTTATATCACTAGGGAATTAGCATGGATAAGCGGTTAATGAACTGTTTATCGAATATGACCATTTATAATGAATCACATGAACATTTAGAATACAGTCAATGATGCATCATAAGATCGTACTAGTGTACTGTTAATCCTTAGACCTGAGATATCATGGTTGGATTCTGCATAAACGCATATGGTTTACATGGTGTATAAACACGAGGCTAATTATGTCATGTGCAAAAAAATTAATTTGGCCATGTGTTATTTATGTGTGACGACAAGTGATAGTTAAGATGAGATCCGTTGACTTGGTATAGGTTGATATCAAGTTCCTAGACAAATGTCAAGAGACATTGGAAAAGAGAAATCTCCAGTCATGGTATATAAAATGTTACCTGAAAGGTTATTTCATGGTGACACGTTCCATATGTATTGATTGTCAATTTAATATAAGATTAAGATAAAGATTTTGACATACCATGAATCCATTCTTAATTGGGATTAGACAATAGAAGGATTTAATTACTCATCGCATATGATTATAAAATGGTTCGTTTGAGTAAATCTTCATTGTGACTTAGGGGTTATGGTACATTGCTAGATGCCTATCATAATCGGTGGGAGTTTCGGTCATAAAGAGTTATGATGAAACATATCAGAACAGACTACGATATTAAGCCTACGGCTAAGCCACAGTGAACCTAAGAGGTTACCCATAAAAAACTAAGGAGAATGGAGAAATAGTCATAGAGAATTGATTATCCAAGGTTGGTTGGCACTTACCAAGGGCAATAAAGATATTTACATTATTATCATTGAATTAGATTCAATGGAGGGTTATATTTGTAATTATGAACAATTTGAAAGGTTAAATTGTTAAAAGGAATTAAGTGTAACTCTAAGTTTATAATTAATCATTTTCTTTATATTAAATTCTATTTAATAATGGGTTGTAATTGTAAATATATAAACAGTTTAAGAGTTAAATTGTTAATTATGATAAATGTTAATCAAATGTTATTATTTAAAGAAGTTTAATAACTTCATAATAATTATGGAATTATTTACAACTGCAAAACAATTATGGAATTATTGAAGAATGTCCAAAACAATTATTGAATAGTTTACAAGGCTGCATATATAAAGAAAATGATATATCAATTTTAGGGTAGAGATAAAAAATTTATAATAACCCTAAATATCTCTTTTAGCCTAATTCTTCTTTTACCTTAGTATGAACACTCTTTTAATTTCTCTTTAAATTAAAAGTCTTCAAGGTTGGTAAGGACTTAAGGTAACAAGCTATACCTTACTTGTTTTCAATTTGATTGAATTTTTTTGCAAAATACTAATATACACATTATAGTATCACATGCATCATTCTCCATGCATTCCAACTTTCAACACTATTGTCGGCGTCGACAAATAGGACATGTTTCTGGCGATGACAACACTCCCCTGAGTCTCTTGACCAAAACCCATCTCACCCCTCCCCTGTTAGCCTCCCCAATCGCCGGCAGCAGCATGCTTTTTTTGGCGACTTATTTTTGTGATTTTTGGTCAATTCACTCACCGGAAATCACCTATGTCGTCACCATTCCTCTTAAAAAGCCCTAACATTCCAATCTTCAATTGTTCACGGATTGATATCCTAATTTCTAGGGTTTTGAATGAATAGGAAAATTTGTAATTCGACCTGGTGAAGGCCCCGAGTGCTAGTTGAACCGGTTCAATCGGTCGAGCTGGGCTGGGTTCCTAATCATTGTCAACATATAGTCTTAGGTTTCATCAAAAACATCAAATTCTTTAATTTTCAGCATCCTCGATTAAAAATGAACTCAAACAACTAACATTAATCACCCATCTACATAAAACACCTAAACTAACATGTCACTTACATACCTATTTGACTCCAACACAAATGCAATGGATTTTTTGTTTTTTTTTTTTTTTTCAAATATGTCCTTGTGTATTGGGGGCAATTTCATCCTTCAAAATTAGAAAATTTGGGTTAGGCTAGGGGTGTGCAAAAAAATCTGACATCCAATTCGTATCCGGTCCAATTTGATCTGAAAAAAATCAGATATCCGAAAATTTGAATTGAATTAGGATATCAATTTTCGGAAGACCCGGATTTCCAGATCGGATATCAAATCAACTCTGCAAAGAAATCGAATATTCGGATCTGATTTGGTTTTGTCCATAACTACAAGTTTTAAGAAGTTATTTAAAGGTAGGTGCAAAGTGGTAAAAAATGTAGACTATTCTAAAATACAACGACAACTTTGGGGGACAAAATGTGATGAAATGTTGATGTGGCACAGGGTACTAAATAATAATGCAAAATTTGAGGTGGCTAATTAATATTTGCCATGCATTTTCGGGTCAAAACTGGATTGGACGAGATCTGGATCAGCTTTCATCCTAATCCAAATTTTCGATTCGGATCAGAAAAATGCAAAACCGGAACGAATATCCTGTTTTGCACACCCTTAGGTTAGACTATTTTATAAGATATTTTCTACTTTGAGGGTAGTTTTCATTTCACACCCTAAAATAGGGTTAAATAATATAATTTCTCTAAGATATTAGATATAGTAATAAAGATATTCAAGACATAACTACATAAATTTATTTTAGTAAGTAATTGTAATTTATCAATGTTATTGTTCATTGCAGTAATACAGTTTATTCTAGACTGGTACTTGGTATTTTTCCACTTATAAGGATGACAATATAAATTCATTTTAACCACTACCAGGTGGTTGAGTGGTCAACTATGACTGTTGGGTGTATTGTTTAAGAGGTCATGCGTTCAATTCATTTTCTCCCTTATTAGGGTGACCACTAGAGCTCTTATCCAACCAGTAGTTTCAGGATCCCACCGGTTATATATATATTCATTTGCAAACAACTTTTATTAAGTAGCTTATGCATGATTAGTAGGTAGTTTGCATAACATTCAATTGTAATGTTACAACAACAATTTGGCCAAATAATTCAAGTAGTTAGATAAAATTACGTATTATGTAAGACTCAATATACAACATTACTTGTAAATTAAGGAGTTTTTTCAGATCTAATAATGTCCACTAAACTGATACTGCAACAATTTTTAACCAATTTAGTCAACTAGTTGCAGCATGAATCTAAATTTAAGGGCATGCTTTGCCAGTAGCTATTTGTAATTAATAGAATTAGGTGATGTGTAGTATCAAGCTTGCAGACATGAGTGGTGTTGATTATAAGCATCAACAAATTTATACTCAATTTTATAACTTTTATGGTTGATTTGAGAGACGGGTCCACTTAACCATTGATGTGTAATTTTATTTTGATTTAAGTTTCATGTTGGGTACAAATTCTATTAACCTAGTTAATGTTTCTGCCTCCTGCACCAGTCAAGTTAGATGAACATTAAAATTGTAATTTAATTAAACTTAACTCTGTAGTTATTGCTGTTAACTCATATACATTATTGCTTTTATTGAAGGTCCAACAATTCCAACCTGGATTTCTGAAACAGAAAATAATTCAATTTAATTCTTTAATAAATAGAATTTCAATCAAAGTAAAAAATGAAGACAGATTGGTCCCATTGGATAACCTTTGGTCAGAAAATGGTTAATTCTATGAAGTATTGATTGCCTTATTCTGATCAAATTTGTTGTTCATTCAAAATGGTTTAAACCCAATCACATAACTTAGTGGGCCGTTTAGGCCTTAGCCTAATTACAGCCGAAGAATCTTTGTTTGACTATGGAGTTAATAAGGAAGGTCAAGGACCAACCAAACCTGACATGGCATTACCCGCGAATATTAGTGTCCTGGCTAAACCGGTGAACAACCGGTAGCAGGTAAAGAAAGAAAGAAAAGGCAAAATTCCACACTTACTGAAATCAGACACTATCCCATTGTAGTTATTACCATTAGCCAGCAAGCAAAAGCCTTGGCTTCTCCCTCCCTCCACCTCCACTTTTTCATCCAACTTTCAGTTTAGAGCGCTAACTCTTCATTTAAAGGTGATTATCTCTTTTCTCTTTTTGTATTTTTCTTTTAAGTATTCTTTTTTAATTTTGTTTATTCTTCGCAGAGATTCTCTGCTAGTGTAATTCATCGTGGCATTAAAGTGTCTGTGTGTAAGCCTCTTGATTCTCGCCCTTTCGAGCTCCAATCAACAACTGATCATCATCATCATCCTCAGATTTCAGAATTCTATTACTTATATACGTACTTATGTCTTCTCACAATCTCTTTATGCTCTCTCTTCATCCCTCCGTTTTCTTTTTTTAATTTCTACAATTAAACCCTTCTCAAATCTAACAATGTGCTGTGACATTTGTTTCAGAAGTTCTCTATTCTGTTGAATTCCACAAGAGATTAAAAAATGCTGACGTGCATAGCTCGCTCGAAGCAACCTGGGGATGACTCACTGAGTCAACCCGAAGACTCAGACTCCTCCAACACGCCCGGTGCCAAACACCAAGCTATCAAATCTCTCACTTCTCAGGTAATTGTTTATTATGACTCGTTATGTAAAACGGGGAGCTCTAGAGTGTTTTTTTTTTTTTTTCCGGTTAATTTGTTGTTTTTGGTTTTTCAGCTCAAGGATATGGCATTAAAGGCCTCGGGAGCCTATCGACACTGCAACCCATGTACGGCTCCGGGGGCTCAGAGTCGGTTCAAAAACTCGGGCGAGTCGGATGCCGACTCGGACCGGTTCAGATGGTCATATAGGAGGACCGGGAGTTCCAGCTCGACGACGCCTAGGACATGGGGGAAGGAGATGGAGGCGAGGCTTAAGGGGATATCGAGTGGCGAGGCGACTCCGATAAAATCAGTGAGTGGGCGCCGAGTTGACCCGGTTGTGTTAATTGAAGAGAGTGAACCCAAGGAGTGGGTGGCCCAGGTGGAACCCGGTGTGCTTATTACCTTTGTTTCTCTGCCACGTGGAGGGAATGATCTTAAGCGAATACGGTTCAGGTACTCTTCAATTCCATTGTTCTTTTCTTGTGATTTTGATATCTACGGTCATTATCCCTTCTTCTCGTATTTTGATGATTATGATCTGACGGTGAATTTACTTTTACTAAGTTTGTCTATTACGCTTTTGCACCGTCGTCACTTGAGAGAAGTGTTGGTGTTCATTGGTTTATGAGATTAGAGACGTCTGAGGGCTTGTTTGGATTGTTTTTTTAGTTACTTATTTTCTTAAATCATTTTGTTTTATTAATTTTTTTTAATTCTTTTTTTATATGTGAATGACTTATAAGGTGTTTGGATGTCCAGAATTGAATTGATTTTAAAATTTGTTTCGAAAAAGTCATTATTTAATAATTATATTCTATTAGATTAAATATATTTGGAGTTGTAATTTGGGTATGCCAAGATTTTAATGGACCGGCTTTTGCATCCATAGTGGGGGGAGTAGGTGGAGGATGAATGAATATGCATTTGAGATGCTTAATTAAGTGTTGTTAATTTGAAGCATTTTAATGAAATGATTTTTTTTTTTTTTTGTTGGTGTGAATGTATCATCCAAACACGGCCTAAGAACCGCATTTGAAAGGGAAGAAATGAGTTGAGGTTGAGAGGGCCTACAATGAACAGTTAATATCACGCCTTATGAAAAGCAATCTAAAAAAAAGTCCAAAAGGGGAACTCATTGTGCCTTATTAGTGGTGGTGGGACAGAATTGATTGTGTTGGGAAGCTTTTTCACTGAGCTTTGTCGTTCTGTCGGAGAAGACTCTTCTTTCTTTCATTTCAAAATTTTCTTCACGCCTGATTCTCCGTGGCATTGTCTTCTTGTGACCCATTTTTTTTTTTGTTGTCTTATAAAACTAAGGACTACCCACATTTATCTGTCACTCCAAATACTACAAAATAAGACAAAATTTGACTGTCTATAAGCTAATGGTCCTTTCTTGTTTCCTAGAGACAATGACAACCACAAAGAGGGCTGCCACTGCTTAATCTAACCTTTACTATGTTCACATTTGACTCTCTGTTACTTCCCTGCTGTTCATTTCAACCTAAAACTGCTTTTTCTGACTGATCTAATACTATTTCCTAGTTGAATGCTTATGAACAATTTAATTGGACCTTTCCCTGTTATTGATGGAGTAGACTGTAGATATCCACTACTGCAATAATCAAATGTTCACATGAAAACCATTTTAGCTAGGCTTATGCCTTTCAATAATGCTATTGAGTCTTAAAATAAGAGGTGTTATTCCTTTTGTCAAAAAGTATTTGTAGTCTCACCTAGTGCCCTAACTTATATATTTAAAAGGTCCATAATGATAGAGGATTGAAGGTTTCAAGACGCACTTAACATGTGGACTAGTTATAGGCTTAGTCCTTAGACCAACTTTATTATTCTATTTGTAAATTGTCAAAGTTCTTCAATTATCAAAAGTGGTATTCTTAGTCAACTGGATAATCTTAACCCAAATTTGCGCTTGGTGTAGCTTATGTCACGTTTTGTTTTTTTCTGCTTCTCTGTACCACTTCATAGTACATATTTTTAATTGCTTGAGCTTCATAACATGCATAGCACGTGACACTTCCCGCATCCTCATGGTACTAATTACAATTTCCTACTTCAAAATTTCCCGAAATCTAAGTGTAGTTTATTTTGTTTTTTCAGTCGAGACATGTTTAACAAATGGCAAGCTCAAAGATGGTGGGCAGAGAACTATGATAGAGTCATGGAACTCTACAATGTCCAGAGGTTTAACCGCCAAGCTTTTCCACTTCCAACACCCCCAAGATCTGAAGATGAGGTGAGCTCTGAGCCTAGTTACCTAAAAGAGAATGAACACGGAAAAATTATTTAACTGTTCTATTGAGGCAATGTTGACGTTGGTGTGGATTGCTAATATTTAATTTCCATCAGTTTGTTTCATGTTTCAACAGCATCTGTATGAAGTAATATCATATGGGGTGCTGTCATGTTATGAAGAGATATGCGGGGCCTATTCCACTCCCTGCACTGTAGTTGTAGTTTCAGGCAAACATTTTCCATGTATTACTTTCTAGGTTTAAAGTTGCCTTTTGTTTTAATTTTCTACAGAGCTCAAAAATGGAATCTGCAGAAGCGAGTCCTGTAACACCACCACTTACCAGAGAACGGTTACCTCGTAACTTGTATCGTCCAACTGGGATGGCAATGGGCTACTCATCCTCAGATTCACTTGATCATCAACCAATGCAAGCACGCAATTACAACGACTCCGGTGGTCTCACCTCAACCCCGAAACTCTCCAGCATTAGTGGGGCCAAGACAGAGACATCATCAATGGATGCCTCTATAAGAAGTAGCTCATCAAGGGAGGCAGATCGCTCGGGAGAACTATCCATCAGCAATGCTAGTGATCTTGAGACTGAATGGGTAGAACAGGATGAACCAGGGGTTTACATCACTATCAGAGCTTTACCAGGAGGCAAAAGGGAACTCAGACGGGTCAGATTCAGGTGAGCTTTTGTGTCATCTATATTTATAATCTCTAAGGAAACCATGTGAAAAGACTTGGGAGGTATGGAAGGTATAGGAACAGACCTAAAAAAAAAAAGCATACTTCGGCTGCCAATGGGGGCCATAATTTAGTAGCTTCACTGGTAGCACATTAAGCTTTTTAGCTTACATTTCAAAAGTTTGATTTATTTTCATAGGAAAGATATTGGTTGAGAATTGATCTTAGTGGCCACAGTTTGAATTTTTATACGTTGTTACTGGAACATGTGCAGAGTTCAGACACATCTGATCTTTAGATTCATTCGCCATCCATAGGTTTGATAATGACCATAGGTTTGATAATGACAATAGTATTGTTATTTTAGCTGCTTGAAGTCCAGGTATAATGGTTTCTCTGAAAGGAATTCCAATCACTTGAATTCTCTACAATTATATGATAATAGATACAACTATAGAAGCTGCTCTTCTACTTTCATGCTGGAGGCTGTGACTCTGTCGTATGATCTATTAATCAGCCTGCTACATCTCATTTGGTTTATATAGGAACTATTGATCAGGTTGGCCACTAAAGCTTCTGCCAAGACCACAATTGAACACCAAGGAAGTGGCCATGGGCAAAACTAGTGTGTCTCATCAATTTTTTTTAGAGGTTTTTGTTGTCATGTGGTCAGGGCAAACAAAAAATACCTGAAGATGGATTTTCAGCATAAACTGATCGCAATTATTCCTTAATTTAAGAAAAATAATTCGAGTGACCTATTAGTAAGAGAATGGAGGGTTGCTGACCTGTTTGGGAGAACTCCAAGAGGTTGAGTTTGACTTAGAGGATTCTGCATTATGTCAAGGTTATAATGAGGTCAAACTTATTGACAATTATGACTTAGGAACAAAAGTATTAGTGGTAAATTTCTTCTGACATCGTTATTACTGCCTGCAATCATGCCGCTTATACTAATTCTTTTATTCTCACAGACATAAGTTGAAGCATGTCTTTTTGTAGTGTAGATATGTAGTGGTCTTAGATTCCTATCTTGTTCATTATTTGGTTTGGATTTTGTTGATGAGTGGTTCTTACTGTATGCAATTATGATGCAGCCGAGAAAGATTTGGGGAGGTGCATGCTAGATTGTGGTGGGAAGAGAATAGAGCAAGGATACATGACCAATACTTGTGATGGGGGGAGCTGGTTTTTTTGCATTGGGGGTGTGCTTTTTCTCAATATTGGTTCAGTAATACTAGTAGAGTCTCTGTAATGGAGATGTGAATCCTTAAACAAGTCCAAGTTATGGACTGTGTAATTGCTTGCGATTATCTTCTTGGGATGCAGGTGGTGAACTCATGAAAAATCAAATTTATATTAATAGTTTTTTCTTTTGTCTCCATGGGTGGATAAAGAGCATCAAATGTGTAATTGGAATTATTGGGTTGGGTGGTCAATACATCAATATCAATGAAAAAAAGGTGTTATCTTTTTCTTCTTTGCTGCCTCTTTACCTGTCAGTTAATTATTCCATTCTGCCTTTCTCATTATGTTTGTGTGGTCTTTTTCTAACTTCTCTAATATCAACCACATTCTCTGTTCTTATACATTGTAGTTGTAGCCTTTTGTTTCATCTTCTTATTTAGTTTGAAGTACTGAAGAAGTCTTTAATATGGAAAAAACTTGGGAACTTTTAATATCATGAATATTAACTTCTCTCTTTTCTTATCAAACCTAAACCTTGACTGGGCAAGAAAAATAGTTTATCCATGCATACTAATAGGGGTGGGCCTTTGCTTAGCCTTGCAAAAATTGTAAAATTTTATGTGTAAAAACTTAAGGACTTGTCATAAAGAAAAAAACTTTATTGTGGTTCAACCCATAGGGAATCGATTTACAAAGAAGAAGAAAGAGTAATAATGTTACAAGGCTATATACTCCCAATCCCATATCAGATCTCTATCAAAGCTACCTTTCTGTCTGTCCTAATTAAGAATCAGCTCTCTTTATGACAAGTAATTGTTTTATACTTGGTTAAAGTTGTATATAACTACCTGATCCGCCAAATACAAATACAAATGTAGCAGATTTCTAAGATTTAATCACCCATCACTTGTCTATTATTTATTGCCTACCTTCCCGTTGAAGTTGAAGTGACTTTGAGTTTGTGGTCATTTGTTTCGCACAATTTAGTGAATGTAATGCTGCATGTATGCTATCCTATGGTAAATGTTTGATGTTATTTCATAGTATTTGATATCAGATGCTACCCAGTAACCATATCTGTAAGTTGAATAATATGATATACCACTAATTTTGTCGAAATTTGAGTAAGAAAAACACATTTCAAAGTATAGATGGTAATTCAATGTAATTGGGTGCAAAGCTTAGAGCAGATATTAAGAGTAAACGACATATTTCCACCTTAAATCCTAAACCTCTGGTTGCATTTATTCTAGATTCTCACCTTTAAAATAATGAAAAATTGTTTAATATAACGTTAAAGGGGTAAATTGGTCATTTTGCAAGAGGCGGCTCACGTTAGTAGATTACCGCCTCTAAGAGTGTTCCAACTCACATTAGCAGACGTCACCCCTGGTGTTTTTTGCCCTTTTCCAACGATTCTTCCACCCAAAATCACCATTGTCACCACCATTTGAATCTTCATCCTCCCATTTACAAAACCTTACCCTTCACAATCCCTTATCATTCGCCGACCACGGCAACTGCATCGTGCGATTGCTTTTTGCCGGTTTCCTATCATTTTCAGCAACGACAATCCCAACCACCACCATCGTTTGAGTCCTCGCATGCCCCTCTACAAAACCCCCTAACCATCTCGGCCACGACAATTCACTGTTTTCCGGCCTCCGAAAAACATGAAGCTCTCAGCCAACGAACGACAACTAAACAGTTGCTGGGGACATAGGGGTTTTGTAGAGTTGAAGACACTAGTTGTAGTGGTGGTGTCCAATTGGATTTTTGCTGGTCAGAATTGACTGGAACCCGACGAAGAACAGCGAAACCCTAAACTTAACGGCGCCAACGATCGAAGGGGCCAATGAGTCAAGAACCAGAGGGGTTTTGAATGACATACTATGGGGAAGGTGATGGAGGTGACTAGGGGGTTCAACGCCGTCAAAAACAAGAAGATTAGGCAAAAACCTATAGGGTGCATAGTCGTCGAGGGTGTTGTTGAAATAATTTGAAAATAAGATGATTAATTATAATTCTACTAATTTAGGGGTTAATAAGTAATTTATTAATTTACTTGTTAAGGGAATTATGATAATAGTATCCTCCGTAACCTAAAAATTATTAATAATAAGAGTGTAAATCTGGAATAAATACAATTAGAGGTATCAATTTAAGATTCCGCCAAACCTCGGGTGGGAATATGTCGTTTACTCCCGATATTAAGATGAAGTTTTTGATGGTAGTTGAATAATTTGAAATGTGAGTTAGTTATAAAAGTATGATCATGTGGTTGAAAATGAATGATTAAATTGAGTAAGAGTAATTATGGTTGCGTTTTCACTCACGCTATTCAAGACAACCAACGCAACGCGTTTTCAACAACATCCATATCCATTCATCATTATCATTCTGCTTTTTCCACACCTACTTTTGTTTTCTCATTTGGTTCCCACATTTTTTAAGGAATTCTTCTACCACAAAGCCCATACCAACCAAGTAGCCGCAAAGGCCCAGGCAGCTGTAGGGAACGTCCCTATAAATTCGCTTTTCCTTTTCCCCCTCACCTTTTCAAATTAACACTCTGGCCCCATAACTGATTTTATCATCCCAAATTATTATAATATCATTTAGATTTAAAGTTTGTTAGAATAATATAACGGAGGTTCATTCAACTAGATAAATAAATAATAATTTTTACAAAAAAATAAAGATTAAAAAAAATAAGAAAATCTATTAGAAAAAACTATCTTTAAGTGGCCGAATAATTCGATGGAAACTCTTTGATATATTATTCAAGATGTTTTGAATTTGAGTCTCTTCTCGGATGCTAATATGGGATAGCTACTGAAGCTTTTATTTAGTTGATAGTTTTAAGGTCTTAGAAAATTAGTTGAGATATACGTAAATAGATTCAAATACCCATAAAATCTATTAGAAAAAGGATGAAAATGAGTTAATATTCAAACTTTAGAGACAAGGCTGGTTTATGGTTAAATGGTAATAGAAGCGCGTGGGAGTGAAATAAAGAGTTAAAAGTGAAGTGAGAGTTCACCTAATCTAATTAAAATATTATACTATATCTCATACGTCATCCACCAGTAAAAAGCTTCTCAAAAACCTGACACTAAAGTTAAAGTCATCTCTCTACCAGACAACTACAACTGCCACCCTGGCAATATCCCTCCTGCTATAATTTACCCGCACGCGCGGCACTGCCCTTTATTACTTTTTCCCTCTCAACCAAAAGTACATTCCCTCCTCCCCCAATTTTCTCTTCCCATTCCCATTTCAAATCCTTCCTCTTTTTTTCTTCTCACTATCCGTACACAAAACATAACATAAACATAACATAGCCACATATAGCTAAACCCAACACACTCCAGTTCGGTTTAGTCTTAAGACTTCATTTTTTTTTTTCTCTATCTGTCTACTTGCCTTCTAATTAATTTGTCTCTGCAGCTTTTGACGTTCTCTTAGCAGACATTAAAGCTCTTTACCTTACTTAAACTATACCCTTCCTGTCTTCTTATTGCATGTTTATTACTCTCTTCTTTCACTTAGATTCACTATAAATCCCCCACTTCCCCTTCTTGTGTTTTACTCTCAATTATTATTTAGCATGTATAGGAAAGATAGATCTTTAAGAGAAAATAATACTCTTCCTCAGAGGAGAAGAACTCCTTCTTTCTCTTCTTCTCTTCTTGATGCTATTTACCGTTCCATTGATGACTCAAATAACGGTACTAGTGGTGGTGGTGGTGGTGGTGGTGGTGGTGGTGAAGAGTTGAGTTTTCATAGAGAGAAAACCATGTTGAAAAAACAGAGGAATTATAGCACTGTCAAGCAGGGTGGTTCTCTCGATAAAAAATCTAATGCTGGACGGGCGATTATGATTGAGAACTGGATGGAGAAGCAAAATAGTCTTGGCTGCTCCTTGCATTTCAACAATTCTACTTCCAGCTCCTCGGATTCTAGCTCTACTGGAGGTTTGTTCTCTTCCTCTGAAGCAGAGTCTTCAAGTTATAAAGAGAAATCCAGAAGATCGAAACCCGTTCGATACTCCATGAAATGTATGCAGTTTGAGCAGAGGAACGAAGAAAACCATGCTCAACAAACGCCAAAGCGTGAAGGTGGTGGATTCACAAAGACCAAGCTCAAAGCTATGAAAATATACGGTGAGTTAAAGAAAGTGAAGCAGCCCATTTCACCAGGTGGCCGCATCACGAGTTTCTTGAACTCTATTTTCAGTTCAGGAAATGCAAAGAAAGTAAATGTGTGCACTGTTAAGGCTATGGAAGACGTGAATTTCGATCGAAAATCAAAGTCTACATCTTCATCGGCTTCAAGATCTTGTTTGAGCAAAACACCATCTTCCACCAGAGGTAAATACAGTTCTAGCAATGGCGGCATGAAAAGGTCAGTTAGATTTTATCCCGTTAGTGTCATTGTCGATGAAGATAGCAGACCTTGTGGCCATAAATGTATTTATGAAGATGATCCAAGTTTAATGCCATTACCGACTTCTCATCAACAAATTCTCAAGAATTGTTCGTTTAAAGAGGACCTGAAGAAGAACGAGACTGGAGTTGGCACACTATTAGCCCAAGATTATCTCAGGAGTAGTTATAATCCTAAGAAGAAGGGTATTGGTGAATTCGTTTCAAGAGGGTTTGTTGATGAAGAAGATGTTGAAGAAGAAGAAGATGATGCTTTGAGTTATTCAAGTTCTGATCTCTTTGAGCTCGATCATCTTATTGGAATCGGAAGGTACAGAGAGGAGTTACCGGTTTATGAAACTACTAATTTGAAAACAAATCAGGCCATTGCAAATGGATTTATTTTGTAGTTTTAATCAATTATTGCGTTAATCAATGTAATTAATTAATGATGGTTTGGGAATTTTTATTTTCTGCTTCTTAACTTTTCGCTTGATGATCTAAAGATGCATTCACACAGGGAAGAGACAAGGAATAACTAAAAAGTGAAAAAAGTTAAAGCACACAACACATATCTTCCACCCATGAATGGAGAAAGTAAAAAACACCCTTACTTTTTCCCTGGCTCAGCACATGGCCTCAACGTCTTCTATTATATAATTCCACTTACACATCAAGTAATTAATTATGATTACAAACATGATTTTGAATCTAGTGTTTTGCTAGTATCACTATCACCCCAGGACGGCATTGGATTGGTTGTGTATATGAGAAAAAAGAAAAGGGATTTTAATCCTTCCCTCAATAGAGTTTCACTTTGACAAAAGATCCAAATTAGAATCGAAATATTTCATAACAAAGTAGCTGGGCTGCTGAAGAAACAGTTGGTCACAATTTAATGCGGTGTCTGTTGATATAGAATTCTAAATAGTACGTACGTTGTAGCCAGTAGGTAGTACTACCACTGTCGAGTGCCAACCGTACTAGTTACTACTACATGTTGAGGTTCCTTTTGCTTTTTACTTGTATAACCTGGTACAAGTACAACCATCAATTGTTTAACGAGAATAAACTGGGAATTTACTTCGTTAGAGATATCATTAAAATTGATTTGGTGTAATCAATCAATACCATCTAACGATGCATGGTATTAAATATTGAATGTTTGAGACGAGATTACATCAAATCAATGTGAAGCCATGGTGCCGTTCACTAAATCTGGCTCATTAGGTTCAGTTGTTCAAACTAAACGCCAATCTATGAATGATCTTAATGTCGTAGCAGACGACCAAATAATACAGATGAATTAGGTTAAAGACAATGCAAACACGTAGGGTCACAGATGAAGAATCTCAAAGTCAAAAATACAGCAGGATCTGACAAAATCCAAACCAACTTTTGTACCAAAGTAGAAAATAAAAAGTCGTTTTTGTTATCAAATTATAATAGATTCTGTGGATGATAATATGAGATATCGACACCAGTGTCTTGGTAGTGGCCACCATGGTTGACTTGAGCACCAAAAGAAGCGAAGAAAAAAAAAAAAAAAAAAAAAAATTTAAAAAAAGGACTGAATGAAGGAATAAATCAAAGAAACTTAACTTAAAATTCCCCCAGAAAGCTGAAAATTAAAATTTGGGAATTATGAAAGTAATAGGCTCTGAAAAAGGCCATATAATTATTCAGAATAATGCAACCTTCCAGACAATAAAAATAGGTGGGAATGGGATTGTTTCTTACCAACCATGCAGAAATCTGTGGTATGTATATACGTACATTAATTGAAGGATGATATATATTCAAAATATTGTAACAGGTGCATGTGGAGCAACCCCGTTTAATATTAATCATGGTTGAAGCCAATTCAAAACCACTTACCGGCCGTGGGATTCTGATCATCTTGATGATCCTTCAGCCCTTCACATTTGTGATTTGTCTTAACACGAGGGTGCATGATTGGTCACCTGTAGATGTTGTCCACCTCAATTTGCAATAATCTGTTTCTGTGTAGGGTTGCCTTTGCCTTAGATCACCACCTTCCACAATTCACTGTCACATGTATGCAATGAACCATCAACATACATGCATTAATTGGAAGATTAGTTTCAATAATTACTATATATATATATATATATATATATATATATGATCTGGGGTGTTCCCATTTTATACATTCTAGAAAATCTATAAAAAATATGTAAGGGTTACGATTTATCAGATGCATATAATATCCCTAAACACAGAGTTTGAGAAAAAAAAAGCTTGTATACGAAATAAATTATATATTAAGGTAAATTAATTTCTTTCTCTTTTTCAATAATGAGTTTATGAAATATAAACGGTTTGATTGACTAGGCCGGAGAATGATTTATATAAATAGAACAAGATTCTGAATTTATCTAAAGAATTTCTGACGCAAAAATTAAATTTAGAAACAATAATCTTGAAGATAATCTCCAACTAGTTGTTTTATATTGTTGTCAAGTTGGTAACGTCTCAGCTTTAAATTGATTAAGTAACTCTAAAACAAAAATAAATATATAAGTTTGTATAATTGATTTGGACATGCAACATCACTGGTTATTGGCTAGATGAGTTGGCCGTATAAGTTAAATTTTAATTGGATATTATAAGATAATTAAATTAATTGTTAACGATTATCCATGCATCTTATATTTAAAAATATCTTTGAAAAAAAAAAAAAACCAGCCTACTTAAAATTGATTTCTTTAATTTTAATTTTAGGAGATTGATCTGATGATCGAGAAGATTATTTCAATCCTTGAGTTTCTAAGTTTAAATCTTAAGACTATTTATCATAATAATTAAGTATTCAATAGCGTTCGATAATTATCCAAAAAAATTCTCAGACTTTATCTTTAAACTCATCAGAAACAAAATCAATGAGGCATTGGACAAAAGATAGTCGAAACTAAAAATTTGTGGTGAGTAATCTTTTGACCTCCAACTCCTAGTTTGAACTAAGCAATTATTCGAGGCATAATCATCTACGATTGTAAAACTGATAATCTTTGACCATCTCAATTCTACTCGTGACCAAAAAGAAGAAAGAAATGGAAAATTATTTGATGAGGCCCTATTGTCAATCGTCATGGGCCCGGCACGTGCTTAGGCTTTGCCAATTTGATTGAAAAACTAAAAATATAAACCTCACGAACAGCGCGTGAAACTAATAAATGTTAACAGACAGCACCGCACGTGACCAACTGGCCTGTCTGTGCACGCTACTTAAAAGCATGTTCCACATGCACACGTGTGCCACGCATTAACGGTCCTTTATTTATTATTTAATTGGTGTACTTAAATTTTATGGTCAGGAAATATGTCAGAGAAGGATTCACTCATAGTATGTAGATGTAAGAAAAGTAAAGTAAAACTCAGACGTCTTTATCTCGCGTGGGTAGTATCTCCAACCTTAAAAGGCAACTCAATGCGTTGTCACAGAAACAGACAAGCTTTTCTCCGATGTAAGGTAGCTGAATAATTAGCTTTCCCCACGCGCTTTTTAATGGTTTCCAATACCATGTCCGCTTAGCTTTATTTTTCGTTTTTAACCTATTCTAAATACTAAAATTATATGTATTTAATTATAGGTGGACGAGTGGTTGGAAAAAAATTCTATGGGTAAAAAAATAGTTACATTGTAACATATAGGTTGAATTCAACCCACTCAATTTTTCTTTTAAAAAAAGGTTTTCTATTTTATAATATTTATAATTTTGATTTCGTGTAAATTTATAGTGAACTCATTCAAACTTTGAATAAATAAATAAAAAAAAACTTTTTATATTTTCAATAATACGGGCGTCACAAAAATCTCTCACTAACCCATGTGGTAGCTCGTAATTGGTTTGGTCAGGTGAGACTAATTATTGAGCAGACGAGACCCATACGAGTTAACTAATTGCGAGCTAATACGTCGCGTTTGTGAGAAGTGTTTGTCAGTGTAGTATCACTCTTATTTTTTAGGGAGAACGACTTACATGTACCCAAGGTTTGTCGTAACGACAAGTTGGTACCTAAAAGGTTTTAAAACGACAAATAGGTACCTTCCGTCATGTTCTGTTAGTGGTTTCTGTTTATTAATAGTGAAAAGACTAAAATGCCCTTAAAAGTTTGAATTTTAGTTTTTTATAAATTTAAAAATTTCTAAAAAACCCCCCTAAGTTTACAAATTTAACTAAATACCCCAATATATAAAATTTTTATAAAATAACAAAAACACCCCCGCCACCCGCAGTGCCAAATTCCGGCCACCACCGCCGGAATCTGGCCGAAAAGTTGCGTTACGACACAGACCCGTCGGATCTATACTCCAGCTCCTCGGATTCTAGCTCTACTGGAGGTTTGTTCTCTTCCTCTGAAGCAGAGTCTTCAAGTTATAAAGAGAAATCCAGAAGATCGAAACCCGTTCGATACTCCTTGAAATGTATGCAGTTTGAGCAGGGAACGAAGAAAACCATGCTCAACAAACGCCAAAGCGTGAAGGTGGTGGATTCACAAAGACCAAGCTCAAAGCTATGAAAATATACGGTGATTTAAAGAAAGTGAAGCAGCCCATTTCACCTGGTGCCGCATCACGAGTTTCTTGAACTCTATTTTCAGTTCAGGAAATGCAAAGAAAGTAAATGTGTGCACTGTTAAGGCTATGGAAGACGTGAATTTCGATCGAAAATCAAAGTCTACATCTTCATCGCTTCAAGATCTTGTTTGAGCAAAACACCATCTTCCACCAGAGTAAATACATTCTAGCAATGGCGGCATGAAAAGGTCAGTTAGATTTTATCCCGTTAGTGTCATTGTCGATGAAGATACAGACCTGTGGCCATAAATGTATTTATGAATGATCCAAGTTTAATGCCATTACCGACTTCTCATCAACAAATTCTCAAGAATTGTTCGTTTAAAGAGGACCTGAAGAAGAACGAGACTGGAGTTGGCACACTATTACCCAATTTACTCAGGAGTAGTTATAATCCTAAGAAGAAGTTATTGGTGAATTCGTTTCAGAGGGTTTGTTGATGAAGAAGATGTTGAAAGAAGAAATGATGCTTTGAGTTATTCAAGTTCTGATCTCTTTGAGCTCGATCATCTTATTGGAATCGGAAGGTACAGAGAGGAGTTACCGGTTTATGAAACTACTAATTTGAAAACAAATCAGGCCATTGCAATGGATTTATTTTGTAGTTTTATCAATTATTGCGTTAATCAATGTAATTAATTAATGATGGTTTGGATTTTTTATTTTTTGCTTCTTAACTTTTCGCTTGATGATCTAAAGATGCATTCACACATGGGGAAGAGACAAGGAATAACTAAAAAGTGAAAAAGTTAAAGCACACAACACATACTTTCCACCCATGAATGGAGAAAGTAAAAACACCCTTACTTTTTCCCTGGCTCAGCACATGGCCTCAACGTCTTCTATATATATTCCACTTACACATCAAGTAATTAATTATGATTACAAACATGATTTTGAATCTAGTGTTTTGCTAGTATCACTATCACCCCAGGACGGCATTGGATTGTTGTGTATTGAGAAAAAAGAAAAGGGATTTTATCCTTCCCTCAAAGAGTTTCACTTTAACAAAAGATCCATTTAGAATGAAATTTTCATAACAAAGTAGCTGGGCTGGTGAAGAAACAATTTAATGCGGTGTCTGTTGATATAGAATTCTGAATAGTACGTAGTACTACCACTGTCGAGTGCCAACCGTACTAGTTACTACTACATGTTAGTTCCTTTTGCTTTTTACTTGTATAACCTGTAAGTACAACCATCAATTGTTTACGAGATAAACTGGGAATTTACTTCGTTAGATATGTGATATCATTAAATTGATTTGTGTAATCATTAATACCATCTAAATGCATGGTATTAAATATGAATGTTTGAGACGATTACATCAAATCAATGTGAGCCATGGGCCTTCACTAACTGGCTCATTAGGTTCAGTTGTTCAAACTAAACGCCAATCTATGAATGATCTAATGTCGTAGCAGCGACCAAATATACAGATGAATTAGGTTAAAGACAATGCAAACACGTAGGGTCACGATGAGAATCTCAAAGTCAAAATACAGCAGGATCTGACAAAATCCAAACCAACTTTTGTACCAAAGTAGAAAATAAAGTCGTTTTTGTTATCAAATTATAATAGATTCTGTGGATGATAATATGAGATATCGACACCAGTGTCTTGGTTTGGCCACCATGGTTGACTTGAGCACCAAAAGAAGCGAAAAGAAAAAAAAAAAAAAAAAAAAAATTAAAAAAGGACTGAATGAAGGAATCAATCAAGAAACTTAACTTAAAATTCCCAGAAGCTGAAATTAAAATTTGGGAATTATGAAAGTAATAGGCTCTGAAAAAGGCCATATAATTATTCAGAATAATGCAACCTTCCAGACATAAAAATAGGTGGGAATGGGATTGTTTCTTCCCAACCATGCAGAAATCTGTGGTATGTATATACGTACATTAATTGAAGGGTGATATATATTCAAAATATTGTAACAGGTGCATGTGGAGCAACCCCGTTTAATATTAATCATGGTTGTGAGTTAGTTATAAAAGTATGATCATGTGGTTGAAAATGAATGATTAAATTGAGTAAGAGTAATTATGGTTGCGTTTTCACTCACGCTATTCAAGACAACCAACGCAACGCGTTTTCAACAACATCCATATCCATTCATCATTATCATTCTGCTTTTTCCACACCTACTTTTGTTTTCTCATTTGATTCCCACATTTTTTAAGGAATTCTTCTACCACAAAAGCCCATACCAAGCAAGTAGCCGCAAAGGCCCAGGCAGCTGTAGGGAACGTCCCTATAAATTCACTTTTCCTTTTCCCCCTCACCTTTTCAAATTAACACTCTGGCCCAATGACTGATTTTATCATCCATATATCAATCCCAAATTATTATAATATCATTTAGATTTAAAGTTTGTTAGAATAATATAACGGAGGTTCATTCAACTAGATAAATAAATAATAATTTTTACAAAAAAATAAAGATTAAAAAAAATAAGAAAATCTATTAGAAAAAACTATCTTTAAGTGGCCGAATAATTCGATGGAAACTCTTTGATATATTATTCAAGATGTTTTGAATTTGAGTCTCTTCTCGGATGCTAATATGGGATAGCTACTGAAGCTTTTATTTAGTTGATAGTTTTAAGGTCTTAGAAAATTAGTTGAGATATACGTAAATAGATTCAAATACCCATAAAATCTATTAGAAAAAGGATGAAAATGAGTTAATATTCAAACTTTAGAGACAAGGCATGGTTTATGGTTAAATGGTAATAGAAGCGCGTGGGAGTGAAATGAAGAGTTAAAAGTGAAGTGAGAGTTCACCTAATCTAATTAAAATATTATACTATATCTCATACGTCATCCACCAGTAAAAAGCTTCTCAAAAACCTGACACTAAAGTTAAAGTCATCTCTCTACCAGACAACTACAACTGCCACCCTGGCAATATCCCTCCTGCTATAATTTACCCGCACGCGCGGCACTGCCCTTTATTACTTTTTCCCTCTCAACCAAAAGTACAATCCCTCCTCCCCCAATTCTCTCTTCCCATTCCCATTTCAAATCCTTCCTCTTTTTTTTCTTCTCACTATCCGTACACAAAACATAACATAAACATAACATAGCCACATATAGCTAAACCCAACACTCTTCAGTTCGGTTTTAGTCTTAAGACTTCATTTTTTTTTTTTTTCTCTATCTGTCTACTTGCCTTCTAATTAATTTGTCTCTGCAGCTTTTGACGTTCTCTTAGCAGACATTAAAGCTCTTTACCTTACTCTTAAACTATACCCTTCCTGTCTTCTTATTGCATGTTTATTATTACTCTCTTCTTTCACTATAAATCCCCCACTTCCCCTTCTTGTGTTTTACTCTCAATTATTATTTAGCATGTATAGGAAAGATAGATCTTTAAGAGAAAATAATACTCTTCCTCAGAGGAGAAGAACTCCTTCTTTCTCTTCTTCTCTTCTTGATGCTATTTACCGTTCCATTGATGACTCAAATAACGGTACTAGTGGTGGTGGTGGTGGTGGTGGTGGTGGTGGTGAAGAGTTGAGTTTTCATAGAGAGAAAACCATGTTGAAAAAACAGAGGAATTATAGCACTGTCAAGCAGGGTGGTTCTCTCGATAAAAAATCTAATGCTGGACGGGCGATTATGATTGAGAACTGGATGGAGAAGCAAAATAGTCTTGGCTGCTCCTTGCATTTCAACAATTCTACTTCCAGCTCCTCGGATCTAGCTCTACTGGAGGTTTGTTCTCTTCCTCGAAGCAGAGTCTTCAAGTATAAGAGAAATCCGAAGATCGAAACCCGTTCGATACTCCTGAAATGTATGCATTTTGAGCAGAGGAACGAAGAAAACCATGCTCAACAAACGCCAAAGCGTGAAGGGGTGTGGATTCACAAAGACCAAGCTCAAAGCTATAAATATACGGTGAGTTAAAGAAAGTGAAGCAGCCCATTTCACCTGGTGGCCTCACACGAGTTTCTTGAACTCTATTTTCAGTTCAGGAAATGCAAGAAAGTAATTTTGGCACTGTAAGCTATGGAAAACGGAATTTCGATCGAAAATCAAAGTCTACATCTTCATCGGCTTCAAGATCTTGTTTGAGCAAAACACCATCTTCCACCGAGGTAAATACAGTTCTAGCAATGGCGGCATGAAAAGGTCAGTTAGATTTTATCCCGTTAGTGTCATTGTCGATGAAGATAGCAGACCTTGTGGCCATAAATTTATTTATGAAGATGATCCAAGTTTAATGCCATTACCGACTTCTCATCAACAAATTCTCAAGAATTGTTCGTTTAAAGAGGACCTGAAGAAGAACGAACTGGTTGGCACACTATTAGCCCAAGATTATCTCAGAGTAGTTATAATCCTAAAAGAAGGGTATTGGTGAATTCGTTTCAAGAGGGTTTGTTGATGAGAAGATGTTGAAAAGAAAAGATGATGCTTTGATTTATTCAAGTTCTGATCTCTTTGAGCTCGATCATCTTATTGGAATCGGAAGGTACAGAGAGGAGTTACCGGTTTATGAACTACTAATTTGAAAACAAATCAGCCATTGCAATGGATTTATTTTGTAGTTTTATCAATTATTGCGTTAATCATGTAATTAATTAATGATGGTTTGGGAATTTTTATTTTTGCTTCTTAACTTTTCGCTTGATGATCATGATCATTCACACATAAGGGAAGAGACAAGGATAACTAAAAAGTGAAAAAGTTAAAGCACACAACACATATCTTCCACCCATGGAGAAAAGTAAAAAACACCCTTACTTTTTCCCTGGCTCAGCACATGGCCTCAACGTCTTCTATATATAATTCCACTTACACATCAGTAATTAATTATGATTACAAACATGATTTTGATCTAGTGTTTTGCTAGTATCACTATCACCCCAGGACGGCATTGGATTGGTTGTGTATATGAGAAAAAAGAAAAGGGATTTTAATCCTTCCCTCAAAGAGTTTCACTTTAACAAAAGATCCATTTAGAATGAAATATTTCATAACAAAGTAGCTGGGCTGTGAAGAAACAATTTTAATGCGGTGTCTGTTGATATAGATTCTGAATAGTACGTAGTACTACCACTGTCGAGTGCCAACCGTACTAGTTACTACTACATGTTGAGGTTCCTTTTGCTTTTTACTTGTATAACCTTGTACAACCATCATTTGTTTAACGAGAATAAACTGGGAATTTACTTCGTTAGAGATATGATATCATTAAAATTGATTTGTGTACAATAATACCATCTAATATGCATGGTATTAAATATTGAATGTTTGAGACGAGATTACATCAAATCAATGTGAACCATGGGCGTTCACTAAACTGGCTCATTAGTTCAGTTGTTCAAACTAAACGCCAATCTATGAATGATCTTATGTCGTACAGACGACCAAATAATACAGATGAATTAGGTTAAAGACAATGCAAACACGTAGGGTCACGATGAAGAATCTCAAAGTCAAAATACAGCAGGATCTGACAAAATCCAAACCAACTTTTGTACCAAAGTAGAAATAAAAAGTCGTTTTTGTTATCAATTATAATAGATGTGGATGATAATATGAAATATCGACACCAGTGTCTTGGTAGTGGCCACCATGTGTGACTTGAGCACCAAAAGAAGCGAAAAAAAAAAAAAAAAAAAAAAATT